AAGTAGAGTTTTCTTCTGAAGGGTTACTGTGTAAAACCACATCTTAGGCTGCCTTCCCCCCCCTTAGTTAAATAAAGTAAGTAAAAACACTATTTCAGCTTGTGTTGTTGGTGCATTGCTTTCCTTTGTACACAGTCACCAGTGTTGGTGGTTTTGCAGGCAAATCTTGTTTGAGCAGTTAATCGTTTGGAATTGGTAAACAGTTCTTTTGAGCATCCATAATTAAGGTAAAGTAGAGTTCAGTCTTTGCTGTGGGGACTGTGTGGTACGAAGTAAAAAGAATTGTCGCTAAAATCAGCTGCTGTCCCAAATAGGTGAAAGTTTTGCATCTGACTGAGGAGCTGTCATCCAGTGTGGTGGTGATCTTTGCGGAAGCTCAGTTTGAGCTGTAAGTACAGCTTCTGGTGTGCACCAAGCAGCAAACAGCGCCTGAATGTTACCCAGCACTGGTGCAGCGTATAAATAGAGACATACGCAAGAAAAAGATGTTCGGGGTAAAGTAGTGCTCATACTTGAATCGGGATTGTGGATCCATCGAGCATAAATTACTAAACCTGTAAAATACTTAACGGCCACACATTGTCTGCTTGCATTTCCTCTACAAAACCTCACAGCACCCTCTCGGAATGACGTGTGTGTGTGTGTGCGGAGATGAAGGGGGACGTGCTCACATGCGACCGATCTGCCTGCGGCCGGGAGGGCGCTTGGGAACGTCAGTCTCCCGATGGGAAAAGATGAAGCTGCAGGTACGGTGCCTCAGCAAAAAGCTGGAAGTCTGAGGGTAACCCGACAGTTTAACTGTCACCAGAAACGAAGCAGCGTCTGTACATATGTATACATAATGTGTTTATTAACAGAAAAAGAGGAATCTGATATTCATAGAAACCGTTAAAAAAAAGAATCCAAACTTCGGTGTGATTTGCAATGTCAGCCTTGTAGGGAGAGAATGAAAAAGTTCCCAAACATTTTTAATGTGGCCTTTGGTCAGTGCCAGCTCTTACTTCTGTGCTGGCCACTTCCACTGGTGCACACGAGGAAGGGTACGGAATGCAGGAAAGCGTCACCGACAGCTTGAGCGCAGTGGGTGTGACATACAATGTTGAAAGAAGTCACTTCCCAGCAAAATCCGGTTCTAGCGCTTGGCTCTTAAATAAAAATACAGTTAAGATGTGTAAGCGCTGGATGCTTAATGTGTGCATCTTAACACTGGTGACGTCTTACCAGGCAAATTTGAAACATGGTCAAATAGTTGGTCAGCTTGGTCATGTGTTTTTTCTTTAATAAAACAATTTTTTAAAATGTGGACTGATTTTAGACCTAAAATGTTGTCTCTTTAGGAATCCTTGAATTTTTTTCATCAATATAATCAACCTGAAGTCCAGTCTTGGATAATGCAGACCACCTTTTTTGAATACCTGTAAGAGAAACTCTCATAAGGCATTTGAAAAGCATTTTTGAATTTGAAAATGTATTATTTATCTACTGCTAATAGGCAGGGTCTCACTAAAATCTGTTGAGATAGTCTCCAGTTCACTGTCAGGGGAACTGAGTGAATCCTGAAGTTATTCTTTACATACTAAGTCATTGAGCTCAGAGTAAAATCATTATTTTTCCTCCTTGGTATACAATGCTGTGCTTCTGTATAAAATAACAAGTACCACTGATATCGTCATAACCTGAAGAACATTGACTAAAATTATAATAATTAGAATGCAGTGTGCTACAAAAGAAGCCGTATCTAAAGTATCTACAAGATCCACAGTTACAGCAGACCTGGGAGAAAATAATCTTTGAGACGTTCAGCTTCTGCGCATTGCTTTAAGTGCAAGAGTGGCAGCTCTGCCATGGAAACTTGCACGTTTGTAAGACCTGATGCCTGGCATGCTCCAACGGAGGACCTGGCACTTCCACCTCGGTCCGGTTGGTATTTTAGGTCTTCTTTCCCCCCTCATTCTGGTAATGAAACCCTAAAGCTCTGATACTGGGGGGGAGGTCGAACAGGCTCACTTGTGGTGGTGGTGTATGGTTTTACTCCGACGTACTGTTTGCTCGATGAGCCAAGTGACTGATGTGAGGATGAAACAAATGGCAGCCTTTGTTTTCGCCTCAAGTTTAATTTCATTCATCTTTGGTGGCTGAGAGTCAGTTTTTCAGGGGATGGTGCTGCATGTCAGGTAACTGGTTTTGATGAGAAAAGAATGATGTATTTTTTGTATTTCTTAGGGAGAATCTATAATGACTATTAGGCTTCATCTGAATTGTGTCAAATGAAGCGGTTTTTGTCCATGCCGATGAGATTCGGCATTATGAAACAAATTATTCTACCGTTCTCTTCTCTGGTGCTTGATTTCCAATGCTTCTGGGCTATTTTGTGTCAAGTATTTCTGGATCCTCTAAGGTTTTATCTACATTTGTTAAAACTGACTTTCTGTGGTATCTGTTGCAGCACAGTTCTTCTGCAAGCTTAGAAAAGTTTGTGAAGACCCTTTAGACAAGATCCTTTTTCTTTTCAAGGGTTAGATCCATGACTGAATTTTGCCAGATAAGGACTTGAAAAAGAAGCCTGCTCGCCCTTGCCTTGCATGAGCATGAATAAATGATGTTTATAGAACAGCACGCATTAGATCAACTGAAAAATAAGAGACTCTACAGAGAGCTTGACACAAGACCCTTACAGCTGAAATGTGATTTATTTTTCAGCATCTTTTTCGCTGAACAGAGAACGCCCAGCGTGGTCAGGGACAGGGACGGCAGATGGTACAAGGGACAAGTTGCATTTTGAATGAGGTTGTGTCTTCAGCTTTCCTCTCAAAGGCGCAGGGAGCGCGGGTGGAGGTGAGGTGGGCAGCCGAGAGTCGGATCAGCAGGGCCGGTTTTAGAGACCTTTGGCTCGTTTGACTCTCAGCCAGCTGGGACCGGACTTGTTGGCCTTTACGGCTCAGTCTGAACGAGCTGGTTCCCCTGACTCATTGTCACATTCTGCTTTGGCCCAAAGAAAGGTGACTCTCACCGTCATTTTATTCCTCATGTTATACTGTTTGTGGAGCAAGACACACCAAGTTCCTGGAGACTTGACCGTGGAGAGAGAGAGGGGGCTGTGGTCTTCAGCTGTGAGCAAGAACTTGTGTTTTCTACTGAGCTCAGAGAGAAGAAGGAACAAGTTCTTACCCTGGACGTGAACCAGGTGGGTGAGTTCCTGGATGACGAATTGGGTAAAAACCCAGGCAAACACCCCCCTCCCAACTAAGTTTTGCAGTCATTTTCCATGTAGTGACCCTGTAACTCAACTGGAGACGTTTTTCCTGGTTAGGAAGGAGTTGAAGGTTATTTTAGCTTCTGCTGGAATTTTATGCTTATTTTCATAAACGCCTTTATAAACAGAGAGCTGTACTTCCTGTAGATCATACGTCCTACAAAGCTGTTGCTGCTGTCATTACACATTGCAAAACAGAATTTAAAGACTGGAATTTTCAGTTTGCCCTGAGAGTTCCAGGTATCCACCTCCTCCTGGAAATTCAAGTGCCCTATTCTGTTTTAAAAATCCTAGCCCCAAAGGAATTTTCTAGGTTGTGGTATGGAAGTGGTGCTCTTCGTTTCAGCTAACGAAAGCTGTGGTCTTCCTCCATCAATGTTTTTTCAAATCATCAAAGACATGTTCAACATAAGGGCTCTGATGTAAACACTCATTCTGAACTAAAGTAATGCTGAAAAATGGCCAAAACCACCTAATTTTTTTGTTAAACCCATTTCTATTTTGTCGTTGCCTCACTTTTCACTAAATGAATTTCCTTAACTAGATCTTGAGAAGAGCTTTGTCGATATACTTTTGACAATTCAAAGTCTAGATGACAAGGCCTGGTTTTCTCCCACAGATGTGCCGTTTTATTCCTTTCATAAAATATTTAACACTTATTTTAAGTAGTTCAGCTGGTATGAAAGTTTATTGGTCTACAATTACCCACAGACACATCTCTTAAAATGGGTGTAAAACACTAATTGTAAATGTCTGTGCTCTTGTTTTTATTGGCAGTGAAGCCAATTCATTCTTGAGCTTTTCCCAACTGCTGCTCCCTGCCGACTTGTCCGTCCCCATCCCTACATTCCCGTCCCCCCCTTGTCAGCTGGGGCTGGAACTGTGACCTGGAGTGCTTGCAGAGAGCAGACCTGGCCATGATGAAGATCAAAGAAAATAAATCTTTCTGTATGGTATCGTTACTTCTGCCTTCGTTTACATACCAGGTGTACCGGCTCAAGCCAAAGATTCACATCGCTGGGTACCCTGTCTCCCAGAGGATGCAGCTGGGACCAGGGCACGCCGGGACTGATGCTCCCCGCAGTAACAGCGGGTGCTAACAGCTGGAGTGAAACCACCCGGTTCCTCCTCTGGCTGCGGTGCAGAAAAATGAGAATGGCAAAGTAAAAGCTTTTTGTCTGCCTTTTAAGAGAGCGTACTTGTGTACATCAGAAGTAGGAGACAGTCTGGCAATTTTAGAGAATTTTTTGACTCAGCTTTTCTCCTTCCTGTCTTTCCCTAAAGATACAAGAGGTTTCAAGTTGCAAAACTTGAAATAATGTTTGAGATCTGAGCAGTATTCTGCTCAAATTAGAATTCCTACTTGTTCAAACTCTGTGTAGCTTAAACAAGCACAAGTCATTTTTAAATGATCTGGTATGGCTATTGAAAACCTCCCCTTTGGTTTGCATTTTGCATTGCTTTGTGGTTTTAGATAGCCTTTCTTCCGTCGTGTGTTTCAGTGACGGCCACGTCAGCAAATGGGTAGACAGAATGGAACTTTGTTGCCTAAAAGCACCTCAGAAGGGATTGTTGTTGTCATATCCAGTACCCCAAAAACCCGAGCTTTTCTTGGCATGGAATTAGTAGAAAGAGGCTTCCAGGGAACATTGACAAACAGGAAACTCCACAGATTTTTAAAACTCTTGAAAATAGTCACAAACCTTGGTTTTGTCTGGCTGATGCTGGAAACGAAGAGTTTCAGAGACTAACTTGTCAGTCTTGGCTTTGTAAACTCGTCTGGTGATCTACAACAGTTTAAAAAAAAAAAAAAAGGAAGAAATCAAACCACAAATTATTTCACTAAATCACAAAAAGCACTCAGGTAGGACGGACCACCACTGCCATGCAAGAGAGCTGTAAGAAATGCAGTTCTACAGTCCTGTTATGATACCTACACAGCGGCAAATGTGGAAAGCAAATAAATGTATTAGTATTTTTAGTTCTGAAATTGCCAAGCAAGAGAGTGAAATCAAATTGGATTTAGTTGTAGAGTTAATACGTGAGGACGGACCTGTTATTTGAGGGGGGGCTGTTTGTTGAGGGGTAAGAAAAGGATTTCCATGCATTTTACCTCCACGCCAAATTGTGTTTTCAAGTTCGTGTAATGCTCCGTGATCAATGGTCTCTGAGGAACTGATGGAAGCACTTACACTACAAGCCGTACGACAAAAGCTAGTTACAGGTTCGTCATGTTCAAAAGCAGGATTAATCGTTACAGCATTTTCTGAACTGCAGCTGTTGAGAGTAGGACTTCTACAATGCAGAACATTTTTGTTTCGGTAAGATTTTAAATTGCAAAAGAAAGGAATATTTTTGAAATGTGAAGAAAAAGATTGTGAGCAGCTTACTGCAAATTAGAGTTTCTTTTGCTTTTTCTTCTTAACTTAATAATTAAAATGATGAAAAGAAAACCGAGGCTTAGTAAGCCAAGAACTAGAGGTTTAAAAATGAAGGGTTGTATGGGTTCTGGAGCAAATTTTGCACAGCGCTGTCCTTGGTAAATCTCGTGTCTACGTACAGGGCATCTGAAATGGGGAGAGGAAGAGAAAAATGTACAGAACTTGAAGGCAGAAAATACGGAGTACCTCAAATGAACACAAAGGAAAATCTGCAATTAAACATAAGCACGGCCTTCCCAATACAATTAATAGTTACACGTCTGTATGAAATAACGTGATCGATAATAAAGGAAGGATAATATTCTTAGATTCATGAGACTGAGTGATAAATAAAAAGAGAGCGATATATTCTTTGCCAACCTACGCATTTTAAGGAAATTATACATTTGGAACGTCTCTGACAAATTTCTAGCCCCACAGGCAAAGCTGAAAGAACATTTGTGGTTCAGAACCTTGGAAGTTCGGGTGTGTTTTGGAGTAATGTCTAAACACATCTTTGAAGCCTGTGTTCTGTTTATTGGTGATTTTAATCTGAGGAGCAAGGTCTGAAATAAGACTTCTACTACAAATAGCTCCCTTTAAAGCAAGGGAGATGATTGCCGTATCTCGTATGAGAACACAGGGGCTCCAGTTAGTGGAAAAGCTAGCCTGGTTCTGAGTCAATTCTCAAGCAAAACAAGTGCTTGGCTAAAGCAAACAGGCCGTAGTGTTCTGTCTGCAGACTGTACAGGTTTGCACAAGCTGTCAGGCTGAGACTTGTGGTACCTTTGTTTGTTTGCAACTGGCTATCATTCACAGAAAGTTTCATTTATTATTTTTAATACTCTTAAAATTCTAAACGATGGTTTGGTTATTACTGTACATCAAGTCAGGGCTTTTCTGAAATGGAAAGGTGTTCTTTTCCTTAGCGCCTTGCTTTCGGAGGAGTAGGCTGTACCCTTTGCTACTTCAGTAAAGTTTTGAAGAGGACCTCTTTAGCTCACAGGCTGATTTCTGGTACCAAATACTGCAGCTGCACTACTGTGACTCCACAAGCCCAGAATTTAGTGGTAACTGCGGTCAATTCAGTATAATCTTCTCTTACTGTTGCTGTGACACCCACTGCAGAACATGAATTGTGGCAGTTACATTGTTACAGTGAACTTATCGTATGAATAATTTGCTCAGTGTTCTTTTTTTTGACATTAATGCTAAGTATGCTAAAAGATGTATCATTAACCTAGTGAGGTCAATATTGAGAGAGAATAAACAAGTGCAAGAATTGTAACTTGTCTCTTGCTTATACACGTGCTTGCTCAACTACCGTGTTCCAGTCTAGTACAGTTTCATACAATGCTCTGGATAGGCTTACAGTGAGATGAAACTTGGTACTTTTAAAAGAGAATTAATATATTCATACTGTGGTAGTTCTTAATATTGGCTTAACAGCATTTCATGTAAAAAATCCTTATGGAACGCGGTTGCAGTTAGGAGGAGCAGCTAATCTTCAAGCCTTTCGCTGAAAGCAGCCTCAGCCCTCATGTGTTTTATTGGATGGTCTGGAATCAGAATAGTACTCATAATGTGTTTATAAGAATAGAGATTTTGTTTTGAATACATCTTAGAAAAATGTAATTTCTTAAAATACTACCAGTTAATCAATAGCAAAGCCATGCCTGTGTTACTTCCTTTTTCCAAGATGTATTTGGAAATCTGAAAAGAATGCATGGATTTACACGTGTCATCTCTGCCAATGATGCTGAATTTCTAATAAACTTCTAAAGCACCTCTAAAAAATAACTAGATCGTGATGTTCTGTGTGTGCTAACAGACAGAAATGGGTTTACCCACGTGAGACTGTTTATACTGAAGATGGGTATTGCAGTGTAGTTTAAAGTGTTTGAATGTTGAGGTCTTGGTTTATTAGCACAGTTTATGCTGTTGAAAAGTATATACTCAGTCCTACTTGTTCATGCAATAGACACACCAGGGCTCCGCTAACAGAATTCATACTAAGGACCATTTATTTACCTGCAGACAGCTCCTCTTCCTGGAACTAACTCGCATTTCCCACCATTGACGCAAAGATGGGGTTCCAGCTCACACAGGCTCCGGCAGGGTAATCCGTCTTGGCTGGCGTAACCAGGTTTACAAAGGCAGTCAGCCTCCTTTGTCCACTCGTTCGTTATGCATTCGGAAAACTCGTCACATGCCATGAATTTGCATGGGTCTGCCTGGTCGGCTGTAAAGGATGGGTAAGTCATTAACTGATGCTTTACCCCAAAGGAACTTGGCAGGCTTTCTGGCAGCTAGAGAAAACAATTCACATTTACCCGCCTGCTACTTGTGCATGTTAATAGGAGGATGTAGTCTAGCAGAAAAGGACACACATCCCTCTTTCTGTAGATGACCCAGCAAGCCTGCAAGCTTATATTTACTTCTGCACTTGTTTACCCCGTCACTATTATACTGTGATTTCATCTTCATCTCACGACAAGGATTTTCTCATTGGGATATTTTTACCCTTTTTTTTTTTTAAAGTAAGTGCTAGTTTTATACTCATGGATACTATGCTACAGCCTTGTGTAAGAAATAGTTTCAGCTGTAATGATCTTAAAAGCATAATTTAGGACATGACAGCAGGAGGGAATTGGATTATCGAATATTGCACAGCACTAGTACAACCTAGAAATACTGGCATGGTCCAGAGAAAATATGTGCTTGTGGGGCTTTTTTCTTTTTTTTAATGATGTGTTAGAATTGGGAAAAATTGCTATTTTTTTTTTTGTTTTTTACATATTAGTAAGGGATGCCTCTGTGAGATTGAGGGCAAATGAGCCTGCTGATGTTCATAGGAAGGCCCAAATCGGAGACAGCCCAAAGTCCTAACTTCAGCTGTCACACAAATCTACTTCTCCTTTCCCATTCTCTGCTTCTCCCTAGAAATGAAGAAGAGACCCAGAAGGAGGCTTTTGAAGCCAGGGCTCAGCCCCAGTTGTGCTGATGGGGTGATGAGGAGGAGGGTTGCATCCACCCCTCTGTCTCATGGAGGCACTTCCCTGCGTACCATGCGGTAAAGCCCTTAGAAGGCAAAAGATGAGAAGCAGACCAGGGGATACAAGTTCTCGTCTTGCCAGCAAACAGTTGCAATAAGATGTGTGAATCCAGAGAGGAAGAAAAAAAAAAAAAGTGTACAAAACCAAGAAAAGAGAGCACAGAGAAGGAAATGAGAGCAGATATACAGGTATGAGCTGGGCTATGAGGCCCTTTTTAGTTATGTGGGCTTAGATTTTTTTTTCTTAAGAAATTTTATAGTTTAAAAAGTAGATTTGTACTGGATATCGCAGGTAGTACCTGTAGGTACAAACTGGGATGAGAATTTTCTTCCAGAGCCACTTCATGTTCCATACTAGATGCTCAGTAATACTCATTTCAATGAAAAACAAGCATCGTGTTCTTTATAGTGGTACTGGAAATCTCAGACCCCAATAGGATACACCTCACTGGTAGAATCCAGCAGAGCTGTTCACTTTTAACCCCGTTATAATTCTATGGCTAGTTCCCTTTTTTTTTTTTTTTTTTTTTTAATTTTAGACTAGTGAGTTTTAGCATGCTCAATTTCCCTTTGCTATATACAATGTGCATGTTGATTTGGGATCTGCTTTGCTCCTGGACTGTAAATGTATGTACAGGTAAACTCTAACAACTGGCCATCAAAGTAATGCAATAAATTACAAAGTGACATTATTGTCAGGCAAACTCTTGCTTATATGTTAAAAACCCAACCAACCAACCAAACCCAAGTTAAAAAAAAAAACTCCAAGTATTTTGTTCTGGTTGTTGCTACTACTGATTGGGAATTAGAAAGTTTAGTCTCTAATGAAACAAAACCAGCTGGCAAATCAAAAGGAGATATCAATTTGTACAGATTCTTTCCTTAGCCCAAGCAGAATTGCACTCCTAGCAAAAGCAGAACACCTCCAAAGGAAAACTGGTTAATAAAAGCGCTTGTATGCTGGAGTACTTGATTACAACAGTGACAGCCGCGTTAACTGCGTGTCGCCTGTAAGTCTCTCCCCAGTTTTGGGGGTCACCGTTTACCTTTACAGCAGTGGAAATAAAAGGCTGACGGGGCCAGTAAGGAGCCGCAGGCTCTGTGGAAGCATTGCCCAGGGCTGGGTGCTGCACCCCGGCACTTTTCAGAAGCTGAAAGGCCCCAGCATGTTTCTACTTGATAAGTAGAGCTTGACAAGAGCATTTCGCTGGGTTAGAGGGTCATTTTCTTGGTGATAATCTTTCATTTTCCATAATAAAGTGTTGGGCTAGGTACCTGCCATACTTGGTCATCTTTTCTGTGTTTTTCACTTTTAGATTACAAAAATAACACACGCAGGTGTTTTTAAAAGCCCACTGTATTATTCTTTACGGTATTATTTATGACCCCTGCCATCAGCCCTTTGCAGCTGCTGAGCCTTGGTATGTATTTTGGCCTCGCGGTTCCCATCGGTGTCTGAATCGGGCGCAACATCAGTACCACTGCAGATGGCTCTGACTTTCACTCGAAATAGGAATTGGCTTCAATGACCTTAATTTACTAAACAGGGTGGGGGGTTTGTTTGCTTGTTTCTTTTTTTCTGAAATGAAAAGACAGTAGGGCTTTGAAGCACCTGTATGGGAATATACCTGCTCTCTAAACATAATGTCTTCTAGTTTGACATTTTACTATTGCTCATAAGCCTTGAAAGACCAGCTCTCTTTTAGTAAACTCATAGTGATATCGTTTTCTTGAACTAATGTTGAGATACTACATCACTAAAGCAGTTGATATGGATCAAGATGAAAGACATCTAAATTCTTCTGTGTTTGCATTTCAGCAACTGTCTCATTTTAACTTTTATTTAATGAAAATTTCCTACCAATGCAGACGACGTGTGGTAGCCCAAAGTTCACTCTAGAGTTTCTAGTGAACTCATTTAACACTTTATTCAGCAAAACATCAGCTTGTCACAGCAGTATTCGCAAGTTTGAATACTGTGACACTGTTAACTTTCTTTACCACACACTACTTATGCTCTTAGTGGCCACGACGAGATACGTAAAATGAAAACTGATTAGAAACTGCCTGCAGGAATTGTAAATGGATTTTTGTTCTGGAATTGTCAGAGATCAATTGTTAAGACAGCTTAACCAAAACTGCCAAAGGCAACTGCTAAGGTATTGGTATCATTCTTCTCCATGCCAATGAAATTAAATTCAGCCCTGAAATAACTATCAGAACCTGAAAATAGATCCAGGCTTCAATTTCATAAAACAATATAGTTTTTTAAAACTTTCAGCTTCTGACATTACAGTAGTGTCCAGACATGTTGTTACTGACTTCCTACTGTTTAACAGAGACTACAGACTTATTTGAAAGGTATTAAATCAGGAGGGATTCTGGAAGTACAAGTCTATGGAGTGCCACATATGGTCATGCTCTGGTCAGTGAGTATCTGTAGAATCCAATTATTCCTAGAAATTATCTCCTTCTGTCTTGAACTCTGTAGCCCTTTGAAAATAGATTTAATGATGCTCTAACTATAGTTTGCTTACAACATTGCAAAAATCATCAGAAATTGTGTTTACATACTCAGGCACAAGATTTGCATAAGTCACTCCTGTAAACTGCATATGAGAATTCCTGATACCTGTCTTTGCCCAGCCCTTATTCTAGACGGTCTTTAGTTCGCTATATTTGGCTCTGAAAAGCAGCTGGGGTACGTGCACAGGCCAACACCTCCACCCAACATTTCCAAAACCAGGACAAGTGTGAAAATATGTCTGCAGATTATTTGCAACATCTTGGTTTTTCTTACTACTCCTGATCACTGGGAGGCTATTGTGAATATCACTATTTCCAAAACAGTAATACCTCTGAAACTGTAACAGTCTGGAAAAGATTATCATCTGCTTCGTTTTGATTTTGCGTGTACATGAGTAACGCAGTCTTACCTGGCTCAATATCCAGGGAATAGCTGTCAATCTCCAAATTGAGGTGCTGGGCTGCAGCATCACAGAAATCTTCCAAAACGCAGTGTACTGCTTCCGTGATGTTGTATGGCACTGTCCTGGCAAATTTCATTTTGCTGTTCACAATCACACTTCCGTTCCTGAAGTTAAGTATTTCCAGGTGCTTAAAACCTGTAAGGTTGGACTGAAGGTATGGAAGTAGCTGCAAACCAGAAATTTGCATTAATTTCCCTTTATCGTCACTTTTCATTATCAAGTACACACATCACACACTTATTTCTCTGAATTTAATACAACTGTTAAACTCCACCACCAAATTTGCTTTTCTGTTTAGCACTATCTTTTTTCTGGACTTTTGCATCTTTCTCAATAATACATTGAGATGGATGGGGAGCAATTTCCCCTGTAGTGAAATGCACAGCAGCTGGGGAGTTTATTCATCTGGAAAAGAAAAAACCCACCTCACTCAAAAGCCAAATTTAATTATTTTCAAATGTTCGATCCAGACAGGTTAGGGCATAGCATAATAGGTGTGTTACTGAGCTGACCTGCTGTCCTTTTGTACCCGTAGAGAAAATCCATATCTAATCACATACCCCCTGCTAAGCTATGATATATTTTAAAAGGCTTATTTTTAAATCCAGCATGTAGACACAAGCCTGAGATGTACTCGGCACTGCTATACTGTTGATGTGAATCTAAGAAAAAAAACCAAATAAATTACATGCCAGGCATGTATCTGGAGTCTCTTGAACAAGTAAAAACTTTCAGCACTGACTTCATAAACTCTTTCTTCATTCCCCGAGAGCATCCCAGGCTTACGGATCCTTTAAAAATACAGCTTATCAGACTGAATTGTAGCAGGGTCTGATATCGTTAAAATGCCGTACTCTTCAGTGTATTTCTTTAAACCGTGCCCGACTATTGCGTATGTTGTTCAAGTCGATTTTCACCCACCAATTGCATGAACTGTTGTTCTAGCGCTTTGTATTCTGGCGAACTCCTATTGAAGAGGTCATCAGAAAAGTGCATGTTGGTTACCCTCAGGCTGAAGAAAACCACTAGCTCTTTGCCTTTGGCTGCGGTTGTCATGAAGCTGGTAGTTACATACTTCAGCGTAGGAGCTGGGGTGGCTTCTGCAGGCTCAGTTGTCAGCACTGAGATGTAACCGCTGCCATGCTCCGCTTCATCCAGGGCTGCTGTGCTCATCACGCCGATGTGATCTAACTCGGCAGCGATATCCTGCACTCCTGTCCCGGTGCCGTCGGGAGGAACGCTCCCAGCTGCGGGCCCTGAGGAATCCGGTACTCCGAGGGACTGCTCGATGATCTCCGAGCGGCTGTAGGACGGGCTGGTTGCTGCAGGCAGCGGGGCTGTTTGGTCTCTAATAACATCTTCAGGCTGCGTGGTAGAGAGATCACTTGAACCGATAAAGAAAGGCAACGTTTCGTAAGTGCTGGCTGTAACTAAAATGCCATCGCCTGATGATTCTGGTTCATCCATGATCTTAACTGCTGCAGAAAAACAGGGGAAAAACAAATAGCTATTTTGAAAAGCAAGCATAACAAACATCAAGTGTGGAAACAACATGTATATTGTATTTCCACTGATGCATTTTTAAAACCAAACTTTAACACTATCTAAACATGCAAATGTTATTTCCATGACGAAGGAAGGACTACTGGAACAAAACTCCTCATCCACGTGTTTGAGTGATGAGATTTCTGCGGGTGCTGTGTTTAAATAATAATGACGCTTGGTAAGTATTTCCTGACTCATTCCAAAGCACATTCTTGTTTTGAAGGTACGTAATCACACTGTCGGTTTATATTGACTGAAAGAGTAGACTGCAGCTTTGAGCTCTCTGCTCGGATCAGTTGTATCCCAGAGTCATTCTGTTCCCCTCCGTGAAGGGTTAAAGTTATTATTTGTCAGTAATCATAAAATGTAGTTACGAAAAACAGTACCTCCTCTTCAGATGCAAACTGTGTCGATTTACCTAAAAGCCAATAGCACCAGTGAAAACAAATTCAGACCTTAAGGAATTATCTGCTGCACCTGAAGCAGCCATTTGATCCAGATGCTGAATTTTTATGAGGTCCCCATTGGGGCTCGGCGTGGATCTAGGATGTGTGACAGCTGTAGCTGAAAGCCAAATCGAAAGCGTGAGACTCTCTGCATTTGGCTTGCAGCTACCTGGCCACAACGACTTCACAGAAAACGATGGCCTCCAAGCAGCAGACATCTACCCACGCTGACAACTTTGCCCTTTTCCAGTGACATACTTACGTGGGCTCTTCGTGGGGGACTTTTAGCAGGCTCCTGCAGGCAAAATCATTGATCAGCTGATAGGAAAGCAGATTTTCTCCAGCTGATGAACTCTTCCATTCCCTATGCACTAGGAATGGAATTTCCCCCCGGGGGCCAAGGAAAGCGCAGAAGGAGAGCAGACTTTTGCATTGGGAATAACCTCAACTGAAGGAGGTGGCAACTCTCCTGTCCGTGGCATAGCAGTTGGCCAGGGATGTTCTTTGTGTCCCTTTCCCTTGCCTTGCTTCTGAACGAATGAGGCCCTTAAGTCTTCCGCTTATTGGATTGCTGATTTTAGGAATAAGTGTACATTTTCAATGAAGAAAAAATTAATACAAGCTAGCTGTCTATTTTCTTGACACTGTCAATTTAACAGCATGTACTAGCTCCTTGTTTCCTCCCTGCAGATACAACGCCTTGGTCTACCGCGCGTTATTTTCTACACAGACATATGTAGCCCCATGCTGCTGAGCTGACCACACTTCTCAAAACAGCAAAGAATTGTTCTAAGGCACGGTATGTAGTTTTACGAAAATTAGATGCTTGAAAATAATTTTCTCCCACCTGGTTACCATGTTGCATAAACTTATGTTAAGAGCTGCTACATATATATTTTTGCTCCTTCATTATTTTTTTTATTGTGTATGGTGTAGTATATATATTGTGATTCGGTGATAGTAGTTTAAAGAGACAAATAAAACACTAATAAAATAAGTTAATATAAAAACAATAATTAGTATAATAT